CAAAAGATGGTGTGTAATAAACTTGTACAAATAAAAAAAATTGGTCTAAAGAGTTTAGACAGTACTTCCCTCGCTGTCGGAAACTTGACGACTGCATGCCTATTGTGTTTTTTTTCTCATTACATTTTTGTAGTGGGAATTTAAAAAAAAATTGCGATGACGTCATCAACATTTTTGCAAGGACACGTATATCAGTTGGGATAGATGTAGTGTAATACTAAGGATCAAATTATTATATTCTCAAATTTTCGGGAAAATGAATTGGGTCGTTTTGAATATTGATTTGTAATAATCAATAAAATAACGAAACAATTTACTCACGTATACGTATCAGAGGCAACTGAAATCGTGTGTGTATAAACATTCTTAATTTAAGATGACAGGCGTAACAGCATACGTGAGAGTCAAACAGAGAAACTGTAAACAAAACGACCATCGGTTTTATTGCTTCGACTTCCGCTTATTATATAAAACATTGGGTTTTATTTTAATTCTTGACGGTGAAATTCACAATTGGTTGATTATAAACATGTCTATTTCACATTCGCGGAACCAAGTGAACGCATAAAACAAATGCAGGTCTGTAATGTTAAAGTCGATGTAAATAAGCGTGCTACCCTTATGTTTCAACCGAGTTTTTCCTTTAACAAATTTTGTGTCTACCAAATTGGGTTGGTTGGGGTGTAATACTAATAATAAGTGTTGCCTTTAATTTAATCAATAAAATAAATTGACTTCATTAATTTTTTTGAACCACCTCTTAAGAAAATCTAAAAAATATGAATGGAATGATAAATCACAAGTACAAACTCATCATATTTTTTGCATTTTAGATAGGATTTATTCAGCAAAATTTAAGGGTGACGTCATCAATTTTTTTAGGAGGGATGAACAAATACATTTTGAACAAAAGTTTACCATGCTTATAATAACTTTAAAATATTCCCAAGATTTCAAAGCATTCGGTTTTGTAATTCCTGATTAAATCGATAAAATAAATTCACGCCTTCATTAATTTTTTTGAGTCACCCTGCATATGCAAATCCAAAAATATGAATGGAATGATAAATCACAAGTACAGACTCATCATATTTTGTACATTTTAGATACGATTTATTCGGCAAACTTTTGAGCTGACGTCATCAGTTTTTTGTAGAAGATAACCAAATATATTTTGACTAAAAATTTATTATGCTCTTTATAACCTTAAAACATCTGCAAGATTTCAAAGCATTCGGTTTTGTAGTTCCTGATTAAATCAATAAAATAAATTTACGCATTCATTAATTTTTTTGAGTCACCCTGTATATGCAAATCCAAAAAATATGAATGGAGTGATAGATCACAAGTACAGACTCATCATATTTTGTACATTTTAGATATGATTTATTCCACAAACTTTTGAGCTGACGTCATCAAGTTTTTGGAGGGGATAAGCAAATATTTTTTGACTAAAGATTTATGATGCTCTTTATAGCCTTAAAACATCTGCAAGATTTCAGAGCATTCGGTTTTGTAGTTCCTGATTAAATCAATAAAATATATTTACGCATTCATTAATTTTTTTGAGTCACCCTGTATATGCAAATCCAAAAAATATGAATGGAGTGATAGATCACAAGTACAGACTCATCATATTTTGTACATTTTAGATATGATTTATTCCACAAACTTTTGAGCTGACGTCATCAAGTTTTTGGAGGGGATAAGCAAATATTTTTTGACTAAAGATTTATGATGCTCTTTATAGCCTTAAAACATCTGCAACATTTCAAAGCATTCTGGTTAGCAGATTAAAAATTAAATTTCAAAATATTGTTTTATAATTTTGATTTTTTTTCCAAAAATCTGGACGTTTCGGGTGAAAAGTCGATTCAGAGTTGTAAACTACATGTGTAGGACTATGTTATTTTATACAATTGAAAACCCATTTACTATGTACAATTTTGAAGTGACGTCATCGCATTAGTGGTGGGGATGATTAGACAAATTTTGGTTAGCGTTTTACCATCTACATGATATTCTTAATATAAGTACAAAATTTCACAACAATCGGTCGAGTACTTTCGGAGATTATCTGTCTAATAAAAATCCGGGGGCAGACGGACAGACGGACAGACGGACGGACAGACGGACGGACAGACGGACGGACAGACGGACAGACAGACGGAAATGGGAGACCTATTTCTTCGTCTTCTAGGGGTCATGAAAGATCGAGAAAACGTAAAAGTAGAGAGTCGGCCGACGGACTCGATTACAATACTTCCTTTGCTTACGCTCGGGAAGTAATATTATGTGAGGTTCAAACTGTAGAGCATGAAATTTACGTTCAATTAAAATTATACAACAAAGGAAAATTTATTGTATGAGGTGAAATTTTGCAAAGTTAACAAAATTTACATGAGATTAATATTTGCCACACTTTTTCAATGAGTTTACATTATGTCAAATTATATCATGATCTAAGTGATTGGTTACTTCAAAAAAAAATTTACTTTGAGAGTTTAAAACACCGCGAACTGGTGAAGGGAAAAAGCGTCTCGGTGATGAAAATTTTAAAATCGTTGCGAGGAAAAAGCGTCTCGGTGATGTAAATTTTAAAATCGTTGCGAGGAATTGCCTCGATGAATTAATCATGATAACGATGATAACCACCTAAGGGAAGGAATTATCATAACCCCCGCCAGTTCGCAGTATAATGAACTTGTTTAACTGCCGTAAATGAACTATTAGCAATCTTGTGTGGAGAATTAAGAAGTATTATAATATAACACTTACGTATATGCATCCAGAAACCTATTCGTAATGAAAAAATAAAGGTGTTTTTCCTGACTAAGTGAATTTCATGAAATCTGCTAGCAAGTGGTTTATTTAAATAATCCTGATTGTTAAACTGTATTTGCACTAGCTGACGATTAAGGAGAACTAACTTGATTGGTGAATTTACAAACAATAAAACAAATTTACAGCACGTGTTTCGCGTTGAACAGAAATCCGCATTTTTCCGATTAAAAGGCCGCAAGAACTAATCGCGCGGGTTGGAGACACCTGAGTGACGTTGGCTACGATTGATTGTCGTTAAACAAAGGCTTCCTCCCATTTTATTAACTATCAAACCAACTAATGTAAACCTAGATCTTACCACGTGGTTACACTCACACAAGCACATTCAGACTGACTCTCCGCCATGCAGATTCTGTCTCTACTAACTAGGGGTGGGGAGTATTTGACGGAACAGGTATTTCGGAACTGTTACCAACGTGGAACAGGAACAAGTTGTTACCGAAGATTCGAAATAACAGTTATTCGGGATAAATCTGTTCCTTTAAAATAAAAGTCCGCAAAACTGGTTTTATAAGTGAAACGAAGTGATTTGCGATGATAAATTTAAATATATAATATAATAATACAATAAATAATAATACATATAAGCAGAAAGGTAAAAAATAGAGAATTATTTGGAATAAAGAATTTTATTTAATAAAGGCACTGTTGTAATTGGATGCAGTGATACAAAATATTCAAGATTTAATATATTTTTTAATTTAGTTTTTTTTCCAATAAAATAGTAAACTAAGAAATTAGATAACAGCAACGAGAAACAACATATAGGAACGTCAATTTTCTCTTACAGGCTACGTTGGTTATAAATAAAAATTATTAAATCTTTATATTAAATCAAAAAAAATCTTAAGTAACAATTTCAGATTCCGAAGGCAAAATCCGAAGACCAAAATCGTAACGTAACGATAACGAGTACGTAAAGAACAAATAACAGTTTTATCTGTAGCAGAGTCGCATAGTAGGTATACGGGATGAAAGTGTTCTTCCTAGGAAACGCAATAACAAATTGTTCCAGAATCACTGTTATTTGGAACTGTTCCTAAAATGGAACAGTAACAAATTGTTCCTGTTCCTCAAAAAAGTAACAGTTCCCCATCCCTACTACTAACCCTCTAACTAAAATCTCCTAGCGCTACGTGCCGCCATCTAACTCAATAATCATGCAAAACTAACTCCTAAGCGCTATTAATGGTCCGACTACCAAGCAAGCGTTTCCGTGCACCAGGTTGCCTATGTTTAACGATTTTTTTTGATATTTTTTTTTTCAAATTCAAATTATTCAAGTGTGATTTTGTGCACCACAATATGCTGATGATTTTAAAATTTTTAGAATAATTTTGAGTGAAAAAGATTGTAATTCTTTGCAATAATAATTTTTTTGTATTCTGTAAATCGGTTATTTGGGCAAATATACGTATTATTATTAGTATTATTATTATTATCAATGTTCAAGGTAAAATAGGTGACCAAGTTTTTCAGAAATTTAAGTCTGTTTAAAAAAAAAATTGTCGGTTTTAATACTTTGGCGCTTGTGAGTAAAATTTTGGGAGGAGAATTTGTAAATGAGAATTTAAAATTTGGTCCAATAATAATCTCCGTCGATGTTGAAATATCTTTTTCAACTTTAAAATATATTGTGTGACAAGCACAAATCATTTCTAATGGAAAATTTTGAAAAACACATTTAATAATCAATTGGTTTAATAAAAATTATAGCTAAAATGCAAATACTGTAAAAACATTGTCTTGCATACATAATTTAGTTATAATTTGAATTTTTATAATGCAAATAAACGTTACAAGACCTGTACTTTAACAATAAATAATTAAAAATGTCATTTTATTTGATTAGATATATTCAAATTAAGTATTTGCATATGCATGTTTTGCATATAGACTGCAAATTTTTAATATAGCGGTGAATATTGTGACCAAAAATGTGTGCATATTATGCGCATATTTCTTCGATATTTTGATGCATACAATCCCAACCATTTCAGCAAAACTTACAAAAATCGTAGATGAAATAATTTAATTTAATAATTAGAAGAAATAGTGCGCCGCCACTGCCTCGTATCGATACCACCAACACTACCATCTACCCATTGCGCAAGTCCCCCACAACGCGCCAACAAATACTATATACGTAACCATGTAACGTAAACCACGCACACAACCGCATGTCGCGTCGGTGAGCTGTTGAGTCAACCACGTGCGTTCTTTCCCACAATGTTAAAGCCCCTCAATTAAGTCACCCCAGAGAATGAAAACCGTCTAAAACCCCCATCAGTGTCGCGAACACGCAACCCACGCGATGACGGTAAAACCCGCCAACGGCGCCGGCGGCGCCCCCGACGACGGCGGGGCCGTCAAGCTCAAGCGCAAGATCACCCTGATGAACGGGGTGGCCCTCATCATCGGCACCATCATCGGCAGCGGCATCTTCGTGTCGCCCACGGGCGTCTACCTCAGCACCAGGTCCGTGGGCGTCTCCATCATCGTGTGGTGCCTGTCGGGGATTTTCTCCACGCTGGGCGCCCTGTGCTACGCCGAGCTGGGCACCTCCATCACCAGGTCCGGGGGCGACTACGCCTACATCTACGTCGCCTTCGGGCCGCTCGCCGCTTTCCTGCGGCTCTGGATCGCGCTGCTCATCATCAGGCCCACGACGCAGACCATCGTGGCCCTCACCTTCGCCCAGTACGCCGCCAAGCCGTTCTTCCCCGACTGCCAGCCCCCGGACAACGCCGTCCGGCTGCTGGCGGGGGTGTGCTTGTGTAAGTACGAGTTGCGAAATTCGAATTGGGATACATTTGAATTTTTGAATCTGGTGCTGGCCTCTCTTGGTGGGAGGTGGGGTTAGTGCAGAGATAATGTCATTTATGATTTAAATAGTTGTGTAACTGATTTTAGATTAAGGTCGCGCGGCTCCGGTTTGTTGCAGATTGTTTAGGCTGGGGAAAATAAATAAACTTGGTCCTGGGAAAGTAAAAAAAAGAGGGAAGTTGCACGCATGGCGCCTGAAAAAATGTATGATGCAATAGTTGCGCAAATGCGGTTATTGTGGGAAGTTTTTAAATTTATGAGGGAGCTTTAATTTTGGGAAGGAGTGCGAGATAAGGCGATATTGGATTCTGTTTGGCTGAAATTTTTCATTATTGCGAATTCAATCACCGTGACTTTATTTAGGAGATAAGAAGTTAATAGTAAGAGTTCGGTTGGATACGTATTTGCGTAGGATTGAAGTATATGAAAGATTTGTTTGTTTTGTTTTATTTATAATTGTATAGGAGATATTTATTTTGATTGATTATTAGATACTTAAGTTTATGTAATGATAAGTTCATCTACACTTTTCCCAAAGAAGTGAAGTTCTCTGATGAAAATAACAAAATCATGTTTTACTAATTTATAAAATTGGTTTAAAGTTTTCCATACTGATCCAGTTTTAAGTTAGTAGCGTAAAAAAACCCATAAGAAGTGGACTGTATATAACAAGTGTTTCAAAAAACACACCGAATTCTGAAGAAAGCACAATTTCTAGAGTCATTTCGCATCGACTCGTCTTAAAATTCCATTTTTATTTATTTGTAATTTGAATTTTTTCTTCAATATGTAATTCATATTTTTGAATTTACATTTTTACATGGATTTACGCTAGTGAGTTGTACTGAGAGAGCAATAAAAAACACAATCAAGGACAACCTTGGATTTTTACTTCCCGAGCGTAAGCAAAGGAAGTATTGTAATCGAGTCCGTCGGCCGACTCTCTACTTTTACGTTTTCTCGATCTTTCATGACCCCTAGAAGACGAAGAAATAGGTCTCCCATTTCCGTCTGTCTGTCCGTCTGTCCGTCCGTCTGTCCGTCTGTCCGTCCGTCTGTCCGTCTGTCCGTCCGTCTGTCCGTCTGTCCGTCTGTCCGTCCGTCTGTCCGTCTGTCCGTCTGTTGTCCCGGATTTTTATTAGACAGATAATCTCCGAAAGTACTCGACCGATTGTTGTGAAATTTTGTACTTATATTAAGAATATCATGTAGATGGTAAAACGCTAACCAAAATTTGTCGAATCATCCCCACCACTAAAGCGATGACGTCACTTCAAAATTGTACATAGTAAATGGGTTTTCAATTGTATAAAATAACATAGTCCTACACATGTAGTTTACAACTCTGAATCGACTTTTCACCCGAAACGTCCAGATTTTTGGAAAAAAAATCAAAATTATAAAACAACATTTTGAAATTTAATTTTTAATCTGCTAACCAGAATGCTTTGAAATGTTGCAGATGTTTTAAGGCTATAAAGAGCATCATAAATCTTTAGTCAAAAAATATTTGCTTATCCCCTCCAAAAACTTGATGACGTCAGCTCAAAAGTTTGTGGAATAAATCATATCTAAAATGTACAAAATATGATGAGTCTGTACTTGTGATCTATCACTCCATTCATATTTTTTGGATTTGCATATACAGGGTGACTCAAAAAAATTAATGAATGCGTAAATATATTTTATTGATTTAATCAGGAACTACAAAACCGAATGCTCTGAAATCTTGCAGATGTTTTAAGGTCATAAAGAGCATAATAAATGTTTAGTCAAAATATATTTGCTTATCCCCTCCAAAAACTTGATGACGTCAGCTCGAAAGTTTGCCGAATAAATCATATCTAAAATGTACAAAATATGATGAGCCTGTACTTGTCATTTATCACTCCATTCATATTTTTTGGATTTGCATATACAGAGTGACTCAAAAAAATTAATGAATGCGTAAATTTATTTTATTGATTTAATCAGGAACTACAAAACCGAATGCTTTGAAATCTTGCAGATGTTTTAAGGTTATAAAGAGCATAATAAATTTTTAGTCAAAATATATTTGGTTATCTTCTACAAAAAACTGATGACGTCAGCTCAAAAGTTTTCCGAATAAATCGTATCTAAAATGTACAAAATATGATGAGTCTGTACTTGTGATTTATCATTCCATTCATATTTTTGGATTTGCATATGCAGGGTGACTCAAAAAAATTAATGAAGGCGTGAATTTATTTTATCGATTTAATCAGGAATTACAAAACCGAATGCTTTGAAATCTTGGGAATATTTTAAAGTTATTATAAGCATGGTAAACTTTTGTTCAAAATGTATTTGTTCATCCCTCCTAAAAAAATTGATGACGTCACCCTTAAATTTTGCTGAATAAATCCTATCTAAAATGCAAAAAATATGATGAGTTTGTACTTGTGATTTATCATTCCATTCATATTTTTTAGATTTTCTTAAGAGGTGGTTCAAAAGAATTAATGAAGTCAATTTATTTTATTGATTAAATTAAAGGCAACACTTATTATTAGTATTACACCCCAACCAACCCAATTTGGTAGACACAAAATTTGTTAAAGGAAAAACTCGGTTGAAACATAAGGGTAGCACGCTTATTTACATCGACTTTAACATTACAGACCTGCATTTGTTTTATGCGTTCACTTGATTCCGCGAATGTGAAATAGACATGTTTATAATCAACCAATTGTGAATTTCACCGTCAAGAATTAAAATAAAACCCAATGTTTTATATAATAAGCGGAAGTCGAAGCAATAAAACCGACGGTTGTTTTGTTTACAGTTTCTGTGTTTGGCTCTCACGTATGCTGTTACGCCTGTCATCTTAAATTAACAATGTTTATACATACACGATTTTCAGTTGCCTCTGATACGTAGGTATACGTGAGTAAATTGTTTCGTTATTTTATTGATTATTAGAAATCAATATTCAAACGACCCAATTCATTTTCCCGAAAATTTGAGAATATAATAATTTTATTCTTAGTATTACACTACATCTATCCCAACTGATATACGTGTCCTTGCAAAAATGTTGATGACGTCATCGCAATTTTTTTTTAAATTCCCACTACAAAAATGTAATGAGAAAAAAAACACAATAAGCATGCAGTCGTCAAGTTTCCGACAGCGAGGGAAGTACTGTCTAAACTCTTTAGACCAATTTTTTTAAAGTTGTCTTTGATTGTTGCATTATCAAGTCAAAGTTTTGAATTAACGGTAATCTAACAATACCAAATTCTATCAAAGACAAATTTAAAAAAAAATCCATGGTTCTTTTTGATGGTGTTTTTATCGCTGTCTAGGTATACGATTTTTATCTCAAACCTAATTTAATATGCAAACCTGCTCAGCTGTTCAAAGTACTCGTAACGAGTTAAGAAGAACCAGAACATATCTTATTTTTTCTAATTTAACTTCAAACAAAATTAACATTTGGCGGAGCCCGGTGTATCAACATTAGAGTATCTTGCATGGCTGCCAACCAAGGTTGTCAAAATAACTAAATTTATTTTGACGATTTTTAAAATAAATACCTTAAATTTCCTCAATAGAAAAAGTAGTAGAGACGTTACTATTATAGAATTTTATTTATGTAGACATGATTTTCCAATAAGAGTACAAATCCTGCTTAGAGAATTGCAAATAATAATTGATATGTACTAAAAAGAGGTTTTCTTGTCTTATCAATGTGAAAAAAAAAGGGTTAATTTTGACGGATTTTGAACCGAATCTAATGCTTGGTTTCTTTAAAGAAAAGGGAAAATCAAGGAAACTAAAGTTACATTTTTTCAATTTTTAAAAGTACCTGAAAATCAAGTAAATATAGTAATTTCCTTCTGTGGGTTGTTTAGATTATTATTATCTATCTGTTTTGTTTCTAGGGTTGCTGTATTATTAAATAATTCCGTTTCTAAACTCTAATTCAAATAGAAATGTACCTAATTTGCCTTGAACAGGCAGGAGAAAACAAAAGACAAATTCATTTTTACTTCCCGAGCGTAAGCAAAGGAAGTATTGTAATCGAGTCCGTCGGCCGACTCTCTACTTTTACGTTTTCTCGATCTTTCATGACCCCTAGAAGACGAAGAAATAGGTCTCCCATTTCCGTCTGTCTGTCCGTCTGTCCGTCTGTCTGCCGTCCCGGATTTTTATTAGACAGATAATCTCCGAAAGTACTAGACCGATTGTTGTGAAATTTTGTACTTATATTAGGAATATCATGTAGATGGTAAAACGCTAACCAAAATTTGTCTAATCATCCCCACCACTAATGCGATGACATCACTTCAAAATTGTACATAGTAAATGGGTTTTAAATTGTATAAAATAACATAGTCCTATACATGTAGTTTACAATTCCGAATTGAGTTTTCACCCGAAACGTACAGATTTTTGGAAAAAAAATCAAAATTATAAAACAACATTTTGAAATTTAATTTTGATTCTGCTAACCCGAATGCTTTGAAATGTTGCAGATGTTTTAAGGCTATAAAGAGCATAATAAATGTTTAGTCAAAATATATTTGCTTATCCCCTCCAAAAAATTGATGACGTCAGCTCGAAAGTTTGTCGAATAAATCCTATCTAAACTGTGCAAAATATGATGAATCTGTACTTGTGATTTATCACTCCATTCATATTTTTTGGATTAACATATACAGAGTGACTCAAAAAAATTAATGAATGCGTAAATTTATTTTATTGATTTAATCAGGAACTACAAAACCGAATGCTTTGAAATCTTGCAGATGTTTTAAGGTTATAAAGGATATAATAAATGTTTAGTCAAAATATATTTGCTTATCCCCTCCAAAAACTTGATGACGTCAGCTCAAAAGTTTGCCGAATAAATCATATCTAATGTACAAAATATGATGAGTCTGTACTTGTGATCTATTACTCCATTCATATTTTTTGGATTTGC